CTCCCCCCCCCCCCTTCCCTCCTCTCTCCTCCCTCCAACAGAGCCGTTGACAGGAACCTGGCGCTTGATGGGATCGAGGAAGGAAGGGTTGTCGTCCAGGCTGCGACACTCAAGTCAGAGGAGTTGACAGCAGGAGCAGGACAGGAGCAGGAGCAGGAGCAGGAGCAGGAGCAGGAGCAGGAGCAGGAGCAGGAGCAGGAGCAGGAGCAGGAGCAGGAGCAGGAGCAGGAGCAGGAGCTATGGCACCTGAGGTACAACTTGGTCATGTCGATAGGAGGCGGTGGAGGAGCTTCTTGTGGAGAAAAGACTGCAGGAGGAAGCTGTGAGCGAGAAGGAGGAGGGAGGGGCGGATCACGTTGGAGCTCGTAGGAAGTTGCAGATGTCTTGGGGGGAGAGCTCTCGGGTTTCTGGACAAGTTTGTGAGAGGAAGAAGGAGCAAGTCTGTTGACCTCGAACGTCAAGTACTTGCGTCGACTAGGATCATCGTCCTCCTCAGCAGGCTGCAAGTGCACATGAGACTGTGAGAAAGAAGGAGGTAGTGGGATGGGGGGACAGAGAGAGTGAGAGGGAGAGAGGGTGAGGGAGAGAAGAAGGGAGGGAGGGAGAGAGATCAACGAGAGGGAGCTAACTCTTACTTCTTCTCTCCGCGCGCTGACTCGCGAGGTAGTCAACAGGCTGAGAAGCTTCCACACTGACAGCGAGATCGGGAGCAGGCCGAGGAGGAGCTGGAGAACGGCTTGCACAGACATGTTGATCACGTCCTCCCGCTTCAACGTCGTCACCCCGCAGTTCGTCAAGAACGGGAGGACAGTGACGGGGACCGCGGTCGCGATGACGACGAGGGAGGAGGAGGAGAAGATGGTGAGGAGGAAGGAGTTTTGCAGGAGGAACCCGCAGAGGCCAAGGAAGGCGAGGCCAAGGTGAATGGCGGCAAAGATTATGCCCCGCCAGAAGGGGAGCTTGCAGTTCTCCTGCAGCAACAAGCTTGTCATCTGCCTCTCGGTGCTGAGCAGGAGATCGTGGGAGATCGTGGGAGATTGGGAGAGATCGTGGGAGATCGAGTGGACAGGGGGGACCTGGGAAATGGTCCCGAACTCGGAGAGGTTGGATGGCTGGATGGTTTCAACGATGATGATGGCTGGAATGAAGTCAAGATCAACAGAGATTGTCACATGTTCTTATCACCAGCGTGCAACCCAAGGTGCCAAAACTGGACGAATCCGAACGTCAAAGTGTGGCCGACGCTCTGCCTTACATTGCAGCACCAACATCTGCAAGAGGTTGTCGTCAGCCTCTCCGATCACACACTTGTTCTCTCCCTTTGTCCTCGACGATACCTCATCATCGGCTCACGCAGTCCCAGTCTTCTAGACATGTTCAGTCTTGTCAGGTTGATCAGTTCATTCACAACACGGTGGCGTCCTGAAAGTCATCATGACTTGCGGTGCTTCTGCAGTTTGTCACAAACCTGTACAACAATCTCGAGAGAATTGCTTTCACGTGCTAGTTCCTGCCGGTTTCCGTGCCTGATAGTAAGCAAAGGTGAGCCTAGTTCGTTTTGGCAGAACTGCACGACATGACAAGAAGCAAGACCGATCTAGGAAGAGTTTTGTTTGACAGGTTTAGTATGGAAGCCAGAGCTCATAAATCTGAGAGAAGATTTGGTGTATGCTGGTAAGCGATACCATCTATGACAAGAAGTGAATGAGACGATGATACAGTGAATGAAGGTTAAGTAGGACGAGGAAGAGGAAGAGAAACAGGAAGAGGAAGAAGAGAAAGATATGATAATGACGATGAGATGGTGATGGTGATGAGATTGTGGGGGATAGGATGATGGTGCCGACGGAGGTGGAGAGGAAGAAAGAGCGTGAGAGGGAAAGGGGAAGATGAAAACGAAGAGGGAGAGGGAGAGGTAGAAGGAGAGCAGGATTCAGGTGACGGTGCCATGTCGTCTTAGCAGCGCAAAGTTTGCGAAATACGCAGGGCATTGTCATGGTTTTGCATTTTTGAATGAAGAAATGGGGTGGGTGTACCCTACACCTTGCAAGGGTTGTACTGCATGACCCCATCAAAATCAAAGAAATGGACGGGTACATTTGCGAAATTTCCGGATGAGGGGGTAGGGTAGTGGACGTTGAGTTTGACAAGATTATAGCTGAAAGAGATTCAGAAACGAGTTGATGAACAAGGGGGAGGAGGAGGAGGGGCGGGAGTAAGGAAGAGCAGCAGCAGCAGGAGGAGGAGGAGAGGAGGAGGAGGAGAGGGCAAACTGAGGTTCTAAAGTTATCGAGAGAGAGCCAAGAGCTGGACATAAGAAGAAGGGTTATATTGTCTGTCGTTTACGAGCAAACATCTATTCATTGCATGTTTGCATGCAGATCTCTTGCTTGCTTTCTTTCTGAATGCTCACATCTCTACCGATCACACCTTGAAACCTCGGCAGCACAATCAAAGTGCAACTGTCTGCAAACAGACTTCTGTCACCGTCACCTGGGGGAACATCCATGCTGGACAAGCGGGAGCGAAGAGAAACAACCTCGATCCGTCGCCAGCAGCCACCAACCTTCTCCTCCTCCCCTCCATCCTCTCCCTCAGCATCCGCAAGTGCTCGGCGAGAAACGGCTCCTCCATCGGCCGCGGGCTCAGGTCCTTGGGAACGCTGAAGCTCAGGACATGGTGGGGGGCCCAACCGATGTCAGCAACCTGAGGACGAGCATGTCAGACGAGGAGGGAGGAGGCTAGAGTCGCTCTCACCTCCTCTGACTTCACTTCCAACCTGTACAGGTGCAGCGGCACCATCCCGAGAGAGTTTCCCGAGAGGATGTCGTCGACGAAGTAGACCACAGGGTACTCCAAGATCCATCCTGCTATGGTGGGCAGCAGCAGCGCAAACGATTCGTCCTCCATCTCGATCTTTCTCTGTGCCTGCGACGTTGCTCTGACCTCCTCCTCCAGCTTCTCGATCAGTAGCGTGAAGGTCAGGACAACTTCAGTCATCTCCTTAGGCTCCATAGTGTAGGGGGTCTGAAGCCCCTTCGAGCAGTTGACGAGAACGAGCCTCCCTAGTCCGTCCTCGAGGTGGCTCTGAAGCCTCGACAGAGAGTTCTGGACATGGATCAAGAAGTAGTTGTCCTCGCAAAGATGCAGGATGAAGACATCAGAGAAGTCTTCGTGGAGTTTCCTGACTCTCTCAAGGCACGAGTCGGTGACCTCGTGGATAGACTTGAGAGGAAGATAATCGATCAGCACGGCAGATCTCAACCCGTAGAACAGCAGCAGGAAGTCCTTCGCAAGCTTCTCCCTCGCAGTCTTACCTACTCTGGCATGCTCGCATGCCTCCAAGACACAGCGTGCAAATTTCGTCTCGTCCATGCTCTATCACTCTCTCCCTTCCCAAGTGTCATGCTCACTGATCTGCTCACTCATGGGAGACCGCTCTTCCCCCTGATGCATGTACTGTCTTTGTTCTCCTCCTCTCCCCTCTCTCCCCTCGCCTTCCACTCGCTTCCCCCCCAACATTTCCGTCCGTATCCGGGGTGAAATTTCTGGCTGACAAAGTGCTTATATGTAGTTTTAATTATAAAGTTCATTGTTTTATACCTAAAACACATATAGTAATAAAAGTCCCCCACACCCTAACCCCCCTTTAGACCACTAATCACCCCCCTTATCAAGGACTTTCTCTTGTCCTTCTTTTCCTCCTTTTATGTGAAGTACCCCACCCCTCATTATACACTCTTCACCGGTTAGCGCACCCCCTTCACACAACGAATTTATTACATAACGCCCGCTGCCAATATGGTAATGTACCCCTACATCTGACTTGTTAAAGTACCGGTGGTATACCGCATCTTCGGCGTCCTCGGTGAGGACAGCGTCGATGACAGGGAGCTCACCTACTCCTAGGAAGTTCTGAGGCGGGCTGGAAAAGAAATTTTAAAATAGTTGTTTTTTAAAACTATTGTAAGAAGATTTGTAGATTTCTAACCGTTTCTTATATAGTTTTATATTGATATATAGGATTGTTGTTTGGATACATTGATGAAATCTTCTGGTTTCGTGCCGTTTTGTACGTAATAGTAGTTATAAAGAGATTTTAAAAGGCGGGGGCCGCCAAGCGACGACGAATGAAGATGGCTGGAGAGGAGGGGGGGGGATAAAGGAGAGCGCACAAGAGGATAGAGGAGGAAGACATGGCAGAGAAAGAAACATGAACATGCATCAAAGTAGTGTGGGCCTGTTCTTGGCTCTGAGACGAGTTTGTCTCGTGTTTGATCAAGGGTGGATCTTTCTCATAATGCGTTCTCTTTGTTTTGTGACCCAAAGTTGCGGCATGCCCCGAGTTAGCGAGACGACACTGCTAGAATACTTCACTTCTTCTTCCGTTTCATTCAATCGTCTAAACACCCGTGGCAGGATGATTGTGGAATGATGATCTCCCGGACATCAGTAACCTTGTCATTCGAATCGCCATGAAAAAACTCAGTGCTAGTCTCGCCCTCTTCTTCGCCTTCCTCCTCTGCGAGCCGCAGGCTGATGCATTCAGTCCTGCTCTTGTGCTGAGGGGGAGAGGAAGGCTGACGCCCGCAGAAGCAGCCCGCCAGCCGCTGCCAACCGCGTTCACAAGCAAACCTGTCGATGGCAGGGGGGCTAGCTCGGCCAGGCAGATGACGAGCTCGGCGTTCGGGTTCGGAGAGAACTTCTTCGGGGAGGAAAGATTCTCCCTGCCCGACCTGGATGAGAGCTGGCTGAAGCTCAACAAGATCTTCGTGCTCATCTTCAACCCCCGATCCGACAACGAAGGGATATGTGAGCGAGCTAGAAAGGCAGGCAAGCAGGACTTGACGCGGTTGCTTCCTAGATACACTGCAAGTGCGAGCAAAGGATGGAAAGCTTATTAACACGGTCGTCTTCTTCGAGGTACCTTCTCCCCTTCCCCTTCGGTCTTCTCCTCCCTTCCTCCCCTCTTCCTCCCCCCCTTCTCCTCCCCTGCCTTCTCCCGCCCTCC